GGGCAATTAGGGGTGATTAGGCTGGAAGGGGGCAGTTGGGATTGGTCAGACCAGCAGGCAGAGTGGTTAGGGACGATCAGGCAGGCAGGCAGGTGAGCGGTTAGGAGCCAGTGGTCCTGGATTGTGAGAAGGATGTTCAACTGCCAGTTTAGGCCTGATTCCAATAAACCGGCAGTCAGACATCCCCAAAGGGGTCCCAGATTGGAGAGGGTGCAGGCTGGGCTGAGGGACACAAATTTTGTGCACCAGGCCACTAGTCTGTAATAATGAAAGTGTAATATACTTAGACCAGACATCCTTCCAGATGAAGTCAGGGCTGCGAGGGAAGCCCGGGTCCTGGGTGCCAGAGGGAAGCCTGTGCTGGCAGCTGGGGGAAGAAAGGCCTACTCTGTTTTATATATATATAATTTTATTGATTTTTTTTGCCCCCCTCCCTCCCTCCCATACATACCCTCCCTCCCCAGAGTTTTATGTCCATTGGTTGTACTTATATGCATGTACACAAGTCCTTCAGTTGATCTATTATCTCCCCCAGATCTTCCTCCTCTCCCCACAGGAAGGCCTACTCTTGCATGAATTTGATGCATCAGGCCTTTAGTAATTAATATTTTTTGAGGTTTAAATTTAACCAGTGTTCTTGTGACATGTTCCCATCAGTTTTTTACCACGGCGTTGCTTTCTGGCATAATGAGATATATTTTTCCTGGTTCAGCCATTTCTTTAGGGAGCCCTGGTTCCTTTCAGTGAGAAATGATATCTAGAAACCCAAGAGCTGGGTATTAGGTGGGCTCATTACTACTGAGATGTCACTACATCTAAGCCCTTTCAGTATACAGAGCAAGAAAAATTGTGGGGTGTGTGTGTGTGTGTGTAATGAGTTCATAATAATACTTCTAGCTCAACCCAACAGCCCCAGATGTTTTTCTCTGTGTTGTTCCACCATCTTCTTGAGCATTTGAATGGTGGGAACAGGTTGGAGCAATGGCCAGAGTCTAACTTAATGGAAGAAGGAAGAGAAGAAAAGCTCATGCTCAATGTTTCAAGGCTCAAACCTACACATGGCATCATTTTTTCTGCTCGTATGCCATTGAATTTTTATTGGTGATAGCATAGTCACATGTTCTACACCTAGCTGCACAAGAAGCACAGAAAATGGAATCTAGCTGGGCAGCAGAAAAGGGCAAAATGGATTATGAAAGAACTAGCAGTCTGCCACTATGAGATGTGAGGATGTTTGCTAATGGACTTTTGGAAACGATTTCCACTCTTCTAAAGAAGCACATTACTAGGCCACACATCTGTTTTTAATGTTTGATTGATTGATTGATAGGTTGATTAGATAGAAACATTGCTTTGTTGTTCCACTTATTTATATTTTCATTGGTTGATTCTTTTGTATGTGACCTGACTGGGGATCGAACCTGCAACCTTGACGTATCATGATAGCACTCTAACCACCTGAGCTACCCAGCCAGGGCCTGTTTTTAATAATTTGATAATTTTGGTGTGTGAAATCTGTTTTCTTTGTAATCCTATATATTTTCTCTTAAGCTTTTAAAACCTTTTCTGAGAAGGGAGCCATAAGCTCCACCAGACTGATTGCCACAGTGGTCTATGGCACAAAAACAGGTGCCTGCGCAGAGGCAGGAAGATCATTTAAGAGGCTGTTAATTCCTCAAGCGATAAAGAGAATGTGACTTGGGCAGTGTCCACAGGGTCAGATTCCAGAGATCCTTTAACCTTCACTCATAGAACCCGTTTTTATCAGCAACACAACTAGATGACAGCTTTGCTTCTAACGTTTATGCTCACTTCATTTTGGCAGGAGGAACTGCTTCCTTGAAAGTGTAATTTAGGAATATTTTCTTTTCAAATTTGATATAAAGTAGAGGGAAATGTCTAAGCCATATAGGATGCCATCTTATTGTTTATCTGGCATAATAGGTATTAGCTGGACATTTCCCCACAATTAAGAGCTTCCCTGCAAGAAAACACAATAAGCTTTTACAACCTTAGACATCCTGTGATGTAAAGCCTCTTTAAAAAGAGGAAGAGTTAGAGCCTCAGTGGTTTGCCCCCAGGGATTGGAAGAAGCAGAGGAGGAGCTGGAGGCAGGTTGAGGACGCCTCAGAAGCAGGCCTCTGCACTAGGCTGTGAGTAATCGCCCGCCAACGCCTGGATCCACAGGCTGCTGCAGTGAGCGTTCATTGCTCCGCACCTGACACCCTGGGCCTGCAGGATAGCACTCACAGCAGCCAGATTTGTCACTTGAGTTCCATTGATTGGCAGCTCTGATGGGCTGCTGCTGTCTCCAGTCTCTCACTCTCCATATGATTATGGTTTTGAACTCTCTTGACCTTTCACCCCCTTCCCACTCGCCTTGGTTCGGGTCAGGGCATCATGGTGCTTCTCAAAATATGGTGCCGTCCTTTGTTAAATGAAGGAGTCCTTCAGTAATTGAGGTGGATTCATTTGCTGAAGGAAGATGAAGCTTTCCAATCCTGATTGTTAATTCTATTAAGTGTTTACTTTGGTCATAGTTTCTGGAAAAAAAGGTTAGGTTCTTCATATCATCACTGTTTAGCGCAGGGTGGTTTTAGGATTGATCAGAGAGCTGTGGGGAAAAAGGCATTTAATCCAATCCTCTTACATTAGTTAAGTTACCGATTATTGTAATCAATAATATTGTAATCAGAAACAATATCCCCTTTTTTTGTTTTGCCTTTTCAAAATTTATGAACCTAAACAACTTTATAGAATAAGAATTCCATCCCTCCTAACTGGGAGAGCGGAAGGCAGAGATACTATTCAGAGACACTGGGCACTAACTCTGCGGCCTCTCTCCGATGAGAGTGTGCCCTTCCTGCTGATCAGTTTGGTCCACTCTTTGAAATGCAGGTGTTCTAACTTAGAACACTCTTTGATATTCCCTAAACATAAGCTCGCAGTCTTGGTGTAAATTCCGTAGGAAGGTGCTGAGGAGGTGAGGCAGAATATAAAGGAGAGCCTGGCTTTGTTATCAGCTCCGGAGCACTTGCTGACCAAGTGAAGAATGTCAGCAGCAGTTGCACACCCCGCGGAGAATCGAGACATAGAGAAAGCCGGGAGAGAGGCTGCCTCTGCTCCCGCTTGGGAGCCACCTCCTTCTGTTAAGTTTTGCTTCCGAACCTAAATAAACCAGGAAGTATGTGGCCGTGTGAGCTGTCTTCCTGCTTTATTTTTTATTTTACTTATTTACTTGTTAGTTTCCTGTGTATTTTGAAATAATTTTAGCCTTACAGAAAAGTTACAAGGATAGTACAAAGAATTCTCACTTTTACCTAGTTAACACTTTCTCATATTTTTTGTATCATCCTTTCCATTGATATATTATTTTTTGAATTGTAACAGATATACTCCTTTACTTCTAAATGCCTGTATGTATTTCCCCCAGAGAACAAGGACGTTCTCTTACATAATCATAATACAATGATCAAACTCAGGAAGTTAACATTTATATAATACTTAATATACTGATCTTATTAATATTTTGGCAATTAACCTAATATAGATGTCACATTTAGTTGTCATGTTAATGGAATATTATAGGATTTTTTTTCATTACTTAGAGAATATTTGTTTCTGTGGGATCATATAGTTTTTCTTTACTTTTAAAAAAATATATTTTATTGATTTTTTGCAGAGGAAAGGAGAGGGATAGCGAGTTAGAAACATTGATGAGAGAGAAACATCCATCAGCTGCCTCCTGCATACCCCCTATTAGGGATGTGCCCGCAGCCAAGGTATATGCCCTTGACCGGAAATGAACCTGGGACCCTTGCGTCCGCAGGCTGATGCTCTATCAACTGAGCCAAACTGGTTTTGGCTCTTTACTTTTTAAAATCCTCACTCAAGGATATGTTATTGATTTGAGAGAGAGAGAGAGAGAGGAAGAAACATTGATGTGAGCAAGAAACATCAATTGGTTGCCTCCTGCACATACCCCAACTCCCCTATTAGTAACATGCAGACCCCAGGAAAAGCTCCAAGATTGAATTTTTTTTTTTTTTTTCAAGACTGAAAATTTATCTCCATAATGGAGAGCAGACAGGGACTGAAGAAAGAGCTGGTCACTCCAGTCTGGTAATTAATAGGGTTTATTAAGGGAAACTTACATACAAGGTATGTCATGGGCAGCTGCAAGACAAAATGGATCCATGAGCTGATTGGCAAGGCCAGAGAATTATATAGGATTTGGGGAAGAGTGGAGGGTGGAGAGTGAGTAGTCACAGGTGTGTGAATGCCACCAGGTATGGGAAATTACATGCTTAACCAGCTCAGGATAACAACCTGTTCCAGGAACTAGCACATAGCAGGAGGCAAGAAAGGGGTGCTGATTTATGTCAGAATGGTTATCAATTACAATCATACAGTCTTCAAGGGGGGTTGCAGAAAGCAACTCCCATTTTGGCCTTGGCACAGGTTTTGGGACAGACAGCGGTCATGTCAGAGTCTCCTTCAGAAACCTCAGATCTGACTTCAAGGCTCTTTTGCTATGTTGTACACACCAGGAGTTTACTTCCTTGTAGCACTTGTAAAAACTGTTTTAATTTCCTCTTAGTCTGCTATATTTTGCACTAGACTTAGAGCTCCTTAAGGACCCAGAACAAAACATTCCTAGGGCCTAGGACAAAAAATTTCTTCAGTGAATGAATAGGTGAATGAATGAATTCTGCAAGAATGCTGATTACAAAGAAAGATTAAAAGAGCAGGTAGCTGGTTTGGTTCAGTGGATAGAATGTTGGCCTATGGACTGAAGGGTTCCGGGTTTGATTTCAGTCAAGGGCACATGCCCAGGTTCTGGGCTTGGTCCCCAGTAGGGGGTATGCAAGAGGCAGCCAATCAGTGATTTTCTCTCATCATTGATGTTTCAAACTCTCCTCCCTTCCTCTCTGAAATCAATAAAATTATATTTTTTAAAAAGAGCAGGTAAATGGTATACTTTTTCTTTTCTCACCCAGCATTCTCCTGGTGTGCAGCCTGCAGATGTGGAGGAAGTTGTCAAGAAGGGTGTGCAGACACTGGTGATTGGCCGAGGGATGAGTGAGGCCTTGAAGGTAGGTCTTGTGAACAGTGTTCTGAGGACAGCTGCTGATCTCTTGGACCTTTACTTTAGAGATATGTCCTTGTTATGGGTTCATCTCTATGTATCATGCACCCTCATACTGCTGATGAGCTAGCGGATGTCCCAGGATAAAATAATGGCTACATACTACTCTCCTTATTGGGGTGGGCTCTCCGTTTCTACCTAACCATGGACCTGTATTGCTTCAAGTATATCTCAGAAAGTATATCTTGGATTTCTCAAGCTCTGCAACTATTAACATTTGGTTCTTTAGATTTTTATAGAACTTTATATTTTATAATAGATTTTTCTAATATTTTCTATCTTCTTAGATGCATTCAAATTATGTTTTCTCCCTTTATGAAAAACATATTTAATTTTACTTACAGAAAAGATTCAATGCAGAAATGCAGACGGAAAAAGTGAAAGATTTTCCCTCTCCAGTCTCCACACTTGGGCACACTGCTCCAATTTTCTAAGCATCTGCAAATATATACACACTTACATATATGTGATATAGGTATACATGAACATACTTACAGCAATTTTTACCTGAATAGGGTCACACTATACATATTGCTCTGTAACATTTTATTCACTTACATTACTACATTATGGACAGCCTTTCACATAAATATAGAGAGATCTACCTTATTCTTTCCTTTAGATAGGTGTTCTATAATCCACCTTCCTGATGAAGGTGCCCTTTACTTATTTACTAGAGGCCCCGTGCATGAAATTCATGCATGGATAGGGTCCCTAGGCCTGGCCAGCAACTAGGGCCTTCCGGCTGCAGGCCAGGGCCGCCTTTTGTTCTGCCCCATCCCCTGGTGGTCAGCACATGTCATAGTGAGTGATGGGTCTTCCAGTAGAACTCCCATGGGGACAATTTGCATATTAGGCATATATATATATATTATATATATTTTTTTTTTTCAGTTTAATTTTGTCCTTGTTAAGATAATTTCTATTATAAAGCTACTGTTATTATAAAATTGTTAATATAGGCCAAAACCGGTTTGGCTCAGTGGATAGAGCGTCGGCCTGTGGACTGAAAGGTCCCAGGTTCGATTCCAGTCAGGGGTATGTGCTGTGGTTGCGGGCACATCCCCGATGGGGGGTGTGCAGGAGACAGCTGATCGATGCTTCTCTCTCATTGATGTTTCTAACTCTCTATCCCTCTCTTCCTCTCTGTAAAAAAAAAAATCAATAAAATATATATATTTTAAATTGTTAATATAGAAAATATCCAGGACAAGCCAGAGTTGAAAATATCTAATAATAATTGCCACTCTTGAGAAACTTTTATATAAATTTATTTGTAAATATTTGTTTAGCATCTTCTATAGGATAGAAACTATTCTAAGCACTAGGGACAACAAGATAAGACAAAACAAGGCTCATAACCCTCATGCATCATAAAAGACATACAATTTCAGATCATAATAAATTCTATGAAGAAGGTGTTGACTTCTGAGGGGTTCCTCTCAATGGGGTGGTCAGGAGGCCTTTCTGAGAAGATATTTGAATGGCAGTATGCATACACTAGTTCACTTCACCCTCACACCAACCCTGTAATGTATCCTTATCATTTCATAGGGGAGGAAATTGTGGTTGAGAGGCTTTAAATAGTTGGATTAAGATCTCTTGGTTGGAACATGGCAAAGTTAGAATTTAGGCTCAGGTTGAACTGACTAAAACATTTAACATTTACATGGTTTGGGTTCTGCACCATGCCAGGCATTTTCTATACCTTCATTAAATTAGTTCTCATACCAACCCTGGAAGCTAGGTATTATTATCCCTATTTCCATACAAAGAAACAAAACCTCAGAGAATTTAATTCACTTAGCCAAGGTCACACTGCTAGCAAGGACTTAAATCCAAGGCTAACTCCAAAATCAGTGCTTTTTCCATTTCACCTGAGATTTTCTTTTCAATCATCTGAGATTTATCTTGATACTGATGTCAACTTCTTAGAAAGCCTTTTTAACCAGTGGCATTCTGGGTGATTGAGGAGTTTTGTCCCTCTCTAATTCTGTAGATTATACTTGCTTCATGGCAGAAAGGAAACCCGGGGAACCTTCCCCCACCACTTATTCATCTTTTTCCTTCTTCCCAGGTGCCCCCATCAACCCTGGAGTACCTTGAGAAACAAGGCATTGATGTACTAGTACTCCAGACAGAGAAGGCCGTAAAGGAGTACAATGCCTTGGCTGCCCAAGGTGTCAAGGTCGGAGGGGTCTTCCATTCCACCTGCTGATGAAGCCTTAAAACAAATCACTATCCTGGCCAATATGGCTCAGTTGGTTGGAACATCATCTGTGCACCAGAAGGTTGTGGGTTCAATCCCCAGTTGGGGTGAGTGTAGGAGGCAACTGACTGAGAAATATCTCTAACACTAATGTTTCTCTCTCACTCCTCTCTTTCTCTTCATTCTTCTCTAAAATAAAATTTAAAAATAAATAAATCATTAAGCAATAATGTCTGTGACTACCACTGTTACCACTCTTCACACCAGCCTCCCCAAGTATTATTATTTTTTTCTTTATTGACTTCAAAGAGGAAGGGAGAGGAAGAAGGAGAAGAAGAGAGAAACATCATAGATCAGCTGCCTCCTGCATGCTGCACACTGGAGATTGAACCCACAACCTGAGCGTGTGCCTAGGAACCTTCAGTCCAAATGCCAGTGTTCTATCCAATGAATTGTTTTTTATTTTTTAAATATATTTTTACTGATTTCAGAGAGGAAGGGAGAGGGAGAGAGAGAAACATCAATGATAGGAGAGAATCATTGATCCGCTGCCTCCTGCACACCCCCTACTGGGGTTTGAACCACAACCTGGGAACATGCCCTGACCAGGAATCGAACCATGACCTCCTGGTTCATAGGTCAATGCTTAATCACTGAGCCACGGTGGCTTGGTGTCAAGCATTTTTTAACAGCTGCTCATGCCAGGTCCTGAACGAGGAAGGCTTTGCGACGCATGGACAACTAAGGCAAGGTGTCTGTCCTTAGTAGGGGAGGGAGACACTGAAAGTCAGGAGAAGAGATGGACAGTTATCAAAGTTAAATAAAATGGCATTAGGCCAGTTTGAGAAAATAAAGTCAAATATAAAGGAAAAAGTTTTGAAGGACAAAGAAAAACTTCAATGCATTAAAATCACATTACAGCCGAAACCGGTTTGGCTCAGTGGATAGAGCGTTGGCCTGCTGAAAGGCCTGGTTCATTCCGGTCAAGGGCATGTACCTTGGTTGCGGGCACATCCCCAGTTAGGGAGTGTGCAAGAGGCAGCTGATTGATGATTCTCTCTCATCAATGTTTCTAACTCTCTATCCCTCTCTCTAACTCTGTAAAAAAATCAATAAAATATATTTTAAAAACAAACAAAAAATCACATTACAATGTTAGGCCCAGACTTCGTGAACCCCAAGGACAACCAGGGAGGCGAGTCTGATGCAATAAACAAAAGAGCCTCTTCCATGCTAGCATGGGCTCTGTCCCACTCACGCTGACAGCCTGGCAGAAGAGAGAGCGAATTTCACCAAGCCCAGGGGTTGTACTCCGGTGGTGATGTCACTATTTTGGCTGACCCTGATTGGTTGGGTGAGGGCTAGGGTCCAGTTACACAAAATGGAGGATAACTCCGCCCTGCCCCACAGTGGAGTTTATCCTCGCCCTGCCCTGCCCTGCCCTCTCAACAATTGATGCCTTGGAATATTTAGCCATCAGGTCAACTAGTATTTATCAAGTATCTTTATATGCTGGCACTGCTATAGACTCCTGAAAAACATCATTAAAAGTCTTGTCTTCATGAGGCTTATATTCTAGAGGGGGAAATAAACAAGTAAATGAATAAATGCATAATGTAAGAAGACTCTGTTGAGAAGAAAATAAGGATAAGAAGATAAGGCATGATTGTGGCTAGTTCAGATATGTGGTCAAGGGAAGTCTCTGAGCCATTGGCAGAATCTTGAATTAATTCAGAGAGCACTTTAATAACAGGAGCTATGTCCTGATAAAACCAGAGGTCCCAGCTGTCTGTCACTACTTGAGCCAATTAAGCAGAGACAGGTTTGAATCGTATATGAGCATTAATTCCAATAATGCTAGCAGTATGGGGGAGAGGAGGTCACTCACAAAAACCTGCTCTCACATAGCTGCTGCTTATATTGGGTAGTACAAAGATTACATGGGAAAGTAGGCAAACGGAATAAGAATGATTATATTGGTTACAGGTTACAGGCAATGCCGGAGGGACTCCATTGTTTGGGCAACAAGGTTGCTAATCTTTCCATCCTAAAATGGGAATGGGCCGGATTCCAAGGTTGACTCCCAAATCCAAGGTTGACTCCCAAGACCCTGGGGCGAACAACCCCCAGCCCAGTTAGAAAGTGGTTTCTTGAATCAGAACAAAACAATCATGGTTAAGAGAGCATGATTAATATTCCTTACTAGAGGCCCGGTGCATGGTAGGTCCCTGGGCCTGGCCAGTGGTCAGGCAGAAACTGACTCTCCAACATCCCCCCCAGGGGTCCCAGATCCAGAGGGTCAAATTTTGGGTTCAGCAACCTCAGTACTTTGGTTCTGGCTAAGGAAGGAATTCAGAGCAAGACCCAAACTGTAAGAGAACATTTTTTTGGCCAATTAGAGAGGTAGAAGAAGTAATTCCTAGATTGAATGGGATTAGGAAGCAAGTTAAGGGAGTAAATTATGGTTATGTGCCTGGGGCAGGGAGGGGAAAGGGGAAGAAAAGGGAAAGGGAAAGTCTACCAGGCCCTCCCTCCTAAGGATTTTAAAGGCGGGGATTTTAGGGGAGGTGCCAGGAAGATATATATATATTTTTTAATATATTTTATTGATTTTTTTACAGAGAGGAAGGGAGAGGGACAGAGTTTTAGAAACATCGATGAGAAAGAAACATCAATCAGCTGCCTCCTGCACACCTTCGACTGGGGATGTGCCCGCAACCAAGGTACATGCCCTTGATCGGAATCAAACCTGGGACCCTTGAGTCCGCAGGCCGACGCTCTATCCACTGAGCCAAACCGGTTTTGGCAAGGAAGAGATCTTAACAGAATATTCAGGGTTGTGGTCTCCACTGATAGGCCAGCACCAGGGCAGCGAATCATTATTCCATGCAGCCGATCCTGACAGGAGCTGTGGGTGGTTTGGTTGCTTATCTGGGCCTGGAGCTGAAATATAACTGAGGCCTAGATGTTATCTCTAGGGAAGAAAGGTTACCTTGGGGTGAGGCTTTCCACCCTGCTGACCTGTACCTGGCTCTTCGTCCTTGCTCTGCTCACACTGTCTAACTGCCTACCACTGTTCTAACTAAACCTAAGGCTCTTCAGACAGTTCCCCCTGGGTCTCCTTCTCCCTCAGTTTGAAATGATGGGGCTGGACTAGGTGACCTTTATAAAGCTTTAGAATGGACAGATAGGACTAGAATGTTATGAGCATCACCTTATCTTTCATCGTCCATCTCCCCCTCCCCCCCCGCCCCCAAAAGGGTTACAAGTGAGAGATTTGGTGTCAAATACATTTGACATTGAACTGTGACTTTCTGTCATCTAGTGGTTGGGCACTTACTCAATCCTTAGAATTAGACTCTTCTCATCTGTTAGACAGGGGTAATATTAGTACCTGGAGTTATTGTACTAAATGGATAATTCTTAGAAAGTCTTAGCACACTGCCTGGCATGTGGTAAGGACTCAATAAATTGAAGCCATTATTGTCATTATCTTTCTATTAATGGGGCTACTGTGTAAAGCCAGTTCATTTCATTTTATGGAGCCCAAAGGAGCTATCTAATCTCTCTCATTTATTCAGTGATTCTCTTTCATGCCCATTTACTAAAAGTCTCTTACTAATTTTCTTATGACTAGTTATTGCTGGGCCCTGGGGGTACTGGAATTAAGTTTGTTATAGTCTTACCCTCAGGAGTTATGTGAAAGAGACAAATAAACAGACAACAAAGATACAGTATGTTAACATCATAATAGTTACAAGGGCCAGAGATGGCATACAGGATGGACTAACTTATTCTTCCAGGATGGAAAGAAAATTAGGGAAGACTTCACTAAGGACATAACACAAACTGAGTTTTAAAGAAAGAGAGGATATTCTTTTATTTACCAAATAAATATTTGGCAAGTCTCCAACTAGACAATTACCAGACATGGCATTTGTTACAGCCATAACCAGAATTGCTCCATCACACTCCTGGTTAATTAGTTTATCTCCATCTAAATGAAATACGTGCTTACCTGAAAGTCCATCATTAAAGTTACCCTTTGAGTTTAAGACACTGTGTCTGTAAAAATTTCCTATTGTGGTGCACAGTACCTGGGAGAGAGGAAACACGTAAGTCTCCATCTCTTTCTACCCTACACCTCAGGAGGCTATAGGAGTGAGATCCTCACACACCTAACACCCAGCCTGGAGGTCCAGGGAGGCCCATTCATTCAGTCCCTTTTCTGCCCAAACCAGGCATTTGTCAGAGACAGGAATTTTCTAGATCTCAGTTTCCTCAGCTCATAAAGCTAGGATGTTTGATAAAATTCAGAGGATTTTCTATTGATGCAATCAAATTTTTCTTTTCTTTTTTGATCAAATATAAGGTGAGACAGCTCCAGTGGGTGCTGAATTAGGCGTGGGTATAATCAGTGTCCTGTGAGTTGTCTCACATTAAAGATAACTTAGTACAAATTCTTCTAAAGGCACAGAAGATCTGGAAGTGAGGCTATTAAACCTTATATAAACCTGCTAATATAATAGCTCCCACTTCTGAATCTACTCTTCATGGTCAATGCTGGAAATGTGCAGAACCTGGAGAGAAGTTCTTTACTTAGTCCGTGTCTTAATTATTAAACCATTTCATTCAACCTGTAGGTTGCGCAGCCCTCACTGCTCACATTTAATTTATTCTTGTTTGAGTAGTTTCTAAGAGAAGTCTACCAAGTGCTAGGTGTGTATCTTTCACCCATAATTCTGGTTTGCTGAAGTCAATCATGTCAAAGCCAAATATATTGTAAAATCCTTCCAGAAACTGGAGATCCAAGATGGCTGCGCCCAGGTGAACACCTAGCTGCAGCCGCACACAACAATTTCAATAAAATACAACTAAAATATAAAACGGACATTGCCCAGAACTACAGGAAGGTTGACTGACTGGAAATTCTACAGCGAGAAGCAAGGAGAAAACCAGAAGGAGGCGCGGAGGAGCTGGAAAAGCCAAGGTACGGAGACACGAGGCGGGCGGAGAGGACGGACCTGAGAGGAGGGAGGCCGAGTGCCTGGCGGGCGTTCCCCAGCGGAAAGGAGATAAAACTCCGACTGTGCTGGGCCCCCGACTGCTCTGGACCCCAGTTCTAGGCCGGACCCCGGGGACTCAGGCT